TAAGGGCGTTTTTTCGAGTTTACGAATTACACCCTAATACCGAATTACATCTTAATACCTAGTTAAAAACTAATACCATTCCATTCATAAGCAAAATCACCAGAGATAGACTGGTTTTGAATTTACCTGAGTGTGGGTGAGATATAACCTGCAAAGTATACGTCATATTTTAAATGTCATTGTTACTAAAAAAATGTTTTGTAGCAATGTCATTTAAAATATGACAATATATACTTCGTAGGTTGATATCTCATCCATAATCTTCCTAACCTCCGAAAAATAATAATTTATATTAATCTAGAGTAAGACAATTTGTAACGCTTTGGACATTGTAGCTTCAAAATTTAATTCATTCTAAAAATTATGAATTTTCTGTATGATTTAATATACAGGGTGTCCCAAAATAGAAGGCCATACCATTAACCACATATTCTTTAGACAAAAATAATGCGACTTTCCTTATGCCATTTTTTATTTGGGCGTCCCTGTTTCAATATACAGGGTGTTAACACATTTTAAAAAACTATTTTTGTTAATAATCCCATTGTTTTGTAAGATACACACTTGAAATTTTGGACGTACTTTTATCTTATTCCAGCATACTTATCATGTAATTTTGGTGAAAAAAAAGGCGAATGGAGGTAACAGGGATGCAGTACCCTTTATCCCCTCCAATTATTTCTAAGGACGCCTATGCAGCTTTTTATTGAAATATCAAATGTAGAATTTTCTTCTGATCATTTTATCTCTTTTGTAAATTTTTGTTCAAATGCTCCGTTTTGGAGAAATACGACATGTATTGATGGGTTACAAATGGCGGCGGCCGATGAATGTCAAGAAAAAATAGTGAGCTGTGAAAACAAATGTCCATCTTGTCAACATAGACATTAGTTATTAATTCTTTGATTCGCCAAATCGAGAAGTAGTAAGTGGTTATTAAGTTTTGAATTTAAGACAATATGGCTAATAGGGTGACAGTAGTTAATTCGATTTTTGCAGATATGGCAGATATGCATTTAATAACCACTTACTACTTCTCGATTTGTTGAATCAAAGAATTAATAGTAACTACGTTTAATATTTTACGAAAAAGCTGCATAGGCGTACTTAGAAATAATTGGAAGGGATAAAGGGTACTGCATCCCTCAGTTACCTCCATTCGCCCTTCGATTTATTTCACCAAAATTACATGACAAGTATGCCGGAATAAGATAAAAGTACGTGCAAAATTTCAAGTGTGTATCTTACAAAACAATGGGACTATTAATAAAAATAGTTTTTTAAAATGTAACTTTAACTCCCTGTATATTGAAACAGGGACGCCAAAATAAAAAATGGCATAAGGAAAGTCGCATTATTTTTGTCCAAAGAATATGTGGTTAATGGTATGGCCTTCTATTTTGGGACACCCTGTACATTTGAGAACTACTGGATGAATTGCCATCACGAATTTGATTTTTTTTTCACTTCTCATCGTAGTGTGATGTTAAACAAGACTTAAAATCATATATACCCACTTTATTAAATATTTATACTTTCCTGATTTCACAAATGTTACGAATTTTGCAATACCTACTAAAAAAATGTTTATCAACATTCGCAGTATTGATGTGTTGCAATCAGCTTAATTATATAAACTAAATGAGAATTTAAGGAGCTACTCAATTCTATTATATAACGGTAGAGCATTTTTTAACAATAACTGCCAGTTAAAATTAAAAAAAAAATAACACTGTTTCTAATCTACCTTTGTCGATTCATATCTCTTAACATGCTATTAAGCGTTATCTGTTTTATAAGAAATTATAATTGACTGTTTTAAAGTCACAATTGATAAAAAATGAATATATAAAGCCGCTGTGATTGAAAACAACACAAATAGTTATGATTAAAAGGATAAAAGGAGCCCGTTTAGTAATATTGAAAGTAAATCATAAGGAAAAAACAAACTTTATCAACATTTCTTTAAAATCAAAAAACATCAGTCCAGCACGTGGTTGACTTACCAGTTGAGTCCTTAATGAGATCAATATTTCCAAAATATTACAAACCAAAGCGTTTAAAACATAAACACAAATAATATCACAGCTGTTATGTTTCTTAAAATTCCTATTTTTTTAAAGAATTATCGTAAAAGCATTCTCATACCACATCCATACACTTCTAAGTAAGAGTCAAACATATCGATGTTGGGAAAAAACTTTCGATGTCTTTCCTTTTCTAACTTAAAGAAAACGACCGAAGACGGTAAACGTGTAATACAATAGACAGGACTGGCTTTACAACATTTGTAAAGGTCACCAAAACTAGTAATTGCTCATGTTCTTATTATAATGTTTTAAATACACAGCATGAAGTATAATATATTAGTGTATTCATTTAAAATGTTGGTATAAAATCCCTCTAAAGGGGATGTATTTATGTTACAGAAATTTGAAAATATTTGATAGTAAAAATGCTCTTTCATCTTTTAATTAATTCAAGCAAAAAATGCATCGATACAGGAGGGTGCAGTGATTAACTATTTCATATTTTAAAATAATTAGAGAGAAGACGTTACTGTATAGCAGATTTGAAACATTTTACTAGTTTATAATTGAAAATACTATTTCCTATAAACGCAATTTGAATTTGTCTTTCAGTAAAAGTACGTACAGTTCCAGCTTTTACATTATCCAAGTGGGATGTTTTGCCAATGACGGACTTAATTTTTTTATTAGATAAATCATGTTAAAGCACTGGACAAGACAACATCGATTATTTCAAGGTGGCCCATCTCGCCAAGCCGGTCCTGTCTCTTTATCAACTATGGTTAAAAGTGGGGTATGGCTTGTCAAACTCCATTGGTTCAGTTCGATTGCTGATAAGACACATGCTGATAAGGTCAAGTAGTACATAATTTTAAGTTTTACAGAAAACAGTAAATTTGGTTGGAAATCAGAATCGCTAAAAGTAAACACTTGTGTCACTTATCTCTGCCTCAGTAAATACGATGCATCTCTCTGGGAAACAGAGTTTAGTTTAGGTAATACTATCGATTTATAATTATTGTAAAAATGTTTAGATAACAATTAGGGGGTGCCATAAAGCAAAACGTAAATATACAGGGTGATTCATAGCAGATGGAAAGAAGTCCGGGGCAACTCGCTTCTAATATTAGCCATTTATAAGTTACATGGTGCTTAAGTTAAAATAAAAACAAATTTATTCTGGCAATAGCTCGGATATGAACGAATATTTACTTATGTTTTGACCACGTAATAAGACAATTAAACTACATTTTTTGATAAAAGTATGTTTATCCAGTGGCGTACATATAGTAGAGTTTATTATAACCTTTCTCATCCTGCAACTTATGGGAAATTTCTAACCTCTTTCATACTATAATTTATATGCTACTGAATATAATTTGAATTTATGACAGATTATGAATTCTTTTTTTAAACAAAAAATTATCAGTTTGTTTTTTGATATATAATTTATCATAAATTGATATTAGTATAAAACGAATAAAAGAAATTTTTAATTAACACTAAAAAAAATAATTTTTAGTCAAACAATAAATGATATTCATATACGTTCTCCAGATTTGAACCCATTGCAATTTTGTGGGGCTATTTATTATTTCGTTTTACTTGATAATTTTGTTCTGAAAAACTAAAATATATTTTTAAAAATTAAGTATATATTTTTTGATATCCTTGTTAGTTCTAGATGTAACAGTTTTTGTCGGAAATTATTTATTTGTGGCATAATTTAAGTTTTTTTATTTATTTGAGTATTTTGCCATCTGCGAGAAAAATATATAATTAATTAAATAACGCTTGCGCCAAAAGGATCAATCAGTCAAGGATTATTTTTTATGAAAATAGTTTTGCCTAGCAATTATGAAAATATATCTACATCTACCGCGCACTTCAATAAATTGTTGATGTTTCGAAAATGAATCTGTTTTCGTTATCAGAACTTGAAATGACACTTCGTTTTAAATAAGTTTTACAAAAAAGTAATAGTTTTTTATTTGTCCTTAATACGATTTTTAATAAATTAAATAAACAAATATGCCTATGACCGAACTGTCTTGTGTTCTGATTCTTTTCATTATTATCTTTAGGGTACTATAATCCAAAAATAACAGCATTTAATGCAATAAACAGGACATTACTTGCTTAAACAATTGAAAAGAATTCATAATACAATACAAAACTAAAATTATTTTCCTGACTATGGATCCACTTACTATAATAAGCAAAGTTGTGTTTATAATTTATAATTTAAAACTTCCTACTTTGTATTTTTAGTTTCATATTTTGAAAACAATTCGACCGATTAAAGATTTTTTTCTTTCTGCTACAGCTTTGGAAAAATAAAATAAATTTTAGCAAATGAAATTAGTGGAGATAAAACCTCTGTTCATTTATGTACCGGGAAATATTTCTGCAGCTTTTAAGGCAAATACGAAAATCATAAAACTTCCAACCAAACAGTTATTGACTTTGCGTCGATCAGTTTTTTATATCACACAACATATAATTTTCGTCATAACCGACAGAAGTAATGACACAGTAAAAAATATACCGGTATATTACCTTACTACAGATGGTACTTTAAAATTTCTGTAAAGTTATTGCAGATACCATCAAATTATTGTTGCATATAATCAATTATTAATAAAATTACAAACAGTCAAAGTACGACAGAGGCATCATTTAAAAAGAGGCTAAACGAATTTTTAAAAGAAATATGTTAAAAATTCACTAACACAATCTTATAGATTTAAATTTCTGTGGCTGTTCCTCTACAATAATGTCTTATTGTTATAACATGAAAATTATTAAATAAATAAATAAACAAAAATTGTAGGCATTAGCTCTTTTAAATTAAAAAAATCTGTAAAATTTAAAACACTAAAAAATCGATGTAATAATTGCTTAAATTATTAAATATGTACTACGCTTAATAAAATTTGCATTTATAATCATTAACAACTAAAAACTCACCATATTCCTGGCTCTAACGTCAAATTTATAGCTTCCGGTGCATCAAATCTATACCCTGCAAGAAGTAAATCCTATATTAATTTTTTACACAACTTTGAAAAATAAATTAACATTAAGGATATCTCGGCACATAAAACCCCACGTTTAATAATATTCGAAATAAAAATGAACCATATTTGCAATAGCAAAATTATGACGATACACAAGCTTGACACACATTGGCGTACACTGTTCAGGCATATTTTTAATGAGGAAAAGGAAGGATTAAAATATTGATAGTAATTTTCTTAAACTTTTATGTTCGGGATTTCAGTACCGTCATTAGATTGTGATAATACAAAACGAAATATAAAGTCTAGTGATTTAGTTATTTTTCTAAACAAGATGCGTTATTAATGTTTATTAGTAGTTAACATATGGTTAATATATAGTTATATATTTAAAGTAGTAAAATAATAATTCAAAACATTATTAAGAAAAAATAGGAGCAATTCTCGGAGCAAAATTATACATTGTGATTTTATTTGGTGAAATTTAAAAAACAAGTAAAGATTTCACCATGAGAATTATTTTTTTTACACATAAGTTTTTAGCACACAAATAGCGTATAAAACAATGTTGTTTCAGTTTTTTTTTAAATTTTTTATTCAATCGTGACGCCACTGAATAGGGGTTCAATAAACCTGCTGATTCTAGTTCTGTGTTCAACAACAAAGTGTTTCAATAGATTTATAAATACGTAAGTCTTATTTTTCACAATACCTATTCTATTGCATAGTAAGCTAAATTGTAGTAGCAAATACTTTAACGTAGGTAGATACTAGGAATACTATGTTAACCTAAATAACATAATGCTTAATGGAGTAGGTACTGTAAAAAAATAGGGCAGTAATGTATAGGAATCAGAAGCAGTAAAAGTATTTCTTCGCATGAAATCAAAATACGAAAAAATAATTACATATTAATACTTATTTATTTATGTAGCCAACTAAAAAATTTATTTAAAAGGAATCTATTTCTATTATTTTGTTCATCAAATTCAACAAAAAAAAATTAATTTGTTGATATGTATTTTTAGAGGTCGCTCGAAAACATTTTAGGTAAACTACTTTTACAGTTAAAATAATTATGAGTGACCTTTAGAAATTAAAATATCGATTTGAAATTTTGAGAATCGAGATTTTTTTCAACTTAGAAAATGATAAAGAAAATGATAAAATAACGTGAGAAAAATAAAAAAAAATAATTTTTGACGATTTTGGAAATTTTTAATTTAATCTTGAGCGACCTCTACAAAATTTGAGCTGATATTTTGAGGGGGCTCTTAAAACATGATAAACTAACATATTTTCACAAGAGACACGAAAAAAAATATTAGTTTTTTTTGGACCCCCTACCGTATATACACCGTAAATGTTAGGATTATTTTTATTTATTTTGATTAGTAACTAAGTAGGAACCTAATCTACTTACATTTTAAACATTTATTCTAGGATGTTCAGTTATAACACTAGTGCAACGCAGTCAATAGTGCAAAATATGTCAGATTGTGCACCACTTTTAAAACACATATGGTATAAAGCGTTCTTTCATTTTATAAAATTGATACACCTGAGTAAAAAATAACAATAATAACTGTCAAAACAGGAAACCAAATGATTTGTTCCTATCAACGATATTTACCTTATTATCAATTATGAACTAAAACCACATAGTAATAAACATATCCGTAGTAACTACTGTGCGGTTTTTATTCTAGTAATGATATAACTACAAGCATGTGCGTAATTACAGTTTGATTTTTATAATTTTAAGTCATAAGTTAACATGCGTTCGAATATATAGAAGTAATTCAATTTTCAGTATTCGTTAATGTTAACTGAAAAACAGAAACAGACATGCCATTATCTGCAACACAATATACACGTATTTGAAATGTAATGCAAACGTAAAACTTTATTGATGATAAATAAATAAATGTTCCAATCTTATTCTGCCTAAATGAAAATGACCTATTAATAAGTAAATGACTTGAGATATTGTTTTATCAGAGAAACAACATATAAGATCAAACAGATTTAGGATATTAGGTACCTACATTGATCCCTTACATATAAAATTTAGAATTTTTATTATTGTTTAAACACAGAGCTTACATAAATGATTACAAGCCATGTGACTAGTAATTTTGTTTGGAACAGTAATTTTATTTCCTTTACGTTGGCAAGTAAATTTCAGTAAAATTAAAAGATATTGAAACAATAAAATCAGATCCGCATTATCTCGAGCGTAGATTTAACGGTTTGTCATTGTTCATTGGAAACGAATCATTAATATTCGCGATGTCAAGATTACCAATACCAGCCCTGCAATGTTGGTTTCCTAAGCTTGGCTGTCACGTGGCTTGTAAACATTTATGAAGGCTCTGTATAATCTATTAAACCTAAGACAATGGTATCAATGTTTGCAATAAATTTTCTACTTTTTAAACAATTATTTTCTATATACTTAGGAATATACTTCATATAACCAACAATAGGTAGGTACATCTAATATTTATGTTTTTTAAATTCCAATGAAGGGTAATAGTATTAAATTAACTATATACATATCTATTGCTAAAATGACTTTGATATAGTATTTATTAGAATTAGTCTATAAACAGAAATAAAAATGAGATAATAATTAACGAATGAATTACTTCAAATTATGCGAAATGCGAGATCTATTTGCATTGACCTTCAGATCATTATGCATATTTACTCACTAATATTTGTTAATAATAGTATTGTATGATAATTTGTGAACTTCCAAAAATGTTTATTTTAATTAAGTACAAATATCTAGTTGGATATGATCTGCAACAATTGGTCTCTATTCAATTAATTTACATAAAATTTTAGTTTCAGCATGTTTTTTCAGTAGATATCTATCTACATATCACAAAAATCAATAAATAAAACAGGCGATAAAATACCTTTTTCTTTGTTCAAAACCATATTCTTGTTCATAATCATTAATAAACGCTTTACAAACATGTGGAATTTTTAAAATCAATCAGGTGGTCGAGTCATAACCTACAAATCAAATTTTTTATTTTTTACTCACCTTCTAAAAGTAGTCTTTGTACAACGTTCACCATGTCTTTCGCTTCTTTTTTGTAGAATTCGTTTTCGCTTTCTGGCTTTATTTGTAAACCTAATATAAAATTAAGGAAACTAATAAGGAAAATAACTTACCGAATTAAAGTAAGGTTAAAGCAGTACCGGCGTTCGTCATTTAGCTGGCTAATGGCTACAAACAAGGTGAATTCTTTAACTGGGTACTTGAATTCACAACGTAACAATATGGTTTGTAATACATATTTATATGATTTAGTAACAATTACCTATATGATTTAGCAAAGCACCTGTACACTACCTATACCTTATAATCCTATTACTAAAATTTAAATTTATAACATTCATATATGTATTAATTTGGCCAGTATAAACAATATAATAAGAATAAGATAAAGTAGGTACCTGGGTACCTTACCTAGCAACAAAATAATAATAAAAAATAAATTCCAGGTTTATGTTTAGAGTTAGTAGAATTCCAGTACACTTTATTTTTTTATGCACCGACTCTGAGGACAGGTCATTGGTACCTATTAAAATTAATAACGGTATTCTCTGCTAGGTACCTGTTTATGATTTTCTGAAAACAAAATTTCAACAAATGTTTAGAGTACTGAAATTGAAAAACTAGTGATATAATGAATTGTTATTAATTTTTGTTTGCTAGTTCATTCATTTCAAAAACACAAGATTCTTGCAGTCACCTCTTCTAATCTATAAACTTATAAGCCCATAAATATTATTTTCGAGATTCGAAATTTGAAATATCGCGAGTAGAAATCTAGTCACTTCCATACGTTGTTGTTGTTATAAACGATAGATGGAGCATGCATTCTACTGAGTGAATTGTGGAATAGCGTAGTTACAAACCTTTGATGTACTGCCTTTATTACTTTTTTTTATGGGGTAACGATAACTACAATTTCAGGGCAAATACAGGGGGTTTTAGGGATGTGATGACCATATTATTAAGACGATTAATACGAACATTTTCCAAATTTTGAATTTTATACCTATAATTTTCCTTCACTAGGTACTAATGATGCTTCTTTTTCTCGTTTGACTGTTACTTTGATATCGCATTAAGATGCCAAATGGGAAGCCAAGCCATGGTAGCGCAATAAGTAGGAAAGCCAATCAGAATGCATGCTATTAAATGTAAAATTAGTAATTAAATACCCATTTAGCATATTACAATAATTGGTAACATCTTTGAAATATCATAAGGCTCTGGTGAATCTATTTAGGCAAAAAAATACCGTAACATATATTTTTTGAAAAAATCACACAAGTTTATTGCAACGTTGCTGTTTCACCCTGTCGTTGTTGGTGAAGAACGGTGTGTTGCATGATTTTTACTCAATTCTCCACACTTATTGAAAATATTTACCACAAAACAGTTAATGTCAAAAGAACAAAGAAAAAAATATAATAACAATAAATAACTAGATAATTATCTCTACTTCAATTAACCAACTTTCTTTTTCTATGCATTTCATTACTTTTGTTCTTTCAATCTTTCTTATTTTTATCTAAATCCTCTTTAATACGAAGGGTAACCTTTATATACAATAAAGTTCTTAATAGTACCCTAGAAATGGATATAATTATTCCATTATGTAATGTTATAATTTTGTTTCTTCTTTTGCCAAATATTACTTGATGTCAACAGTTTCAATAAGTGTGATATATTATGAGTATATACAAGGAGATTTAAAAAAAATTTTTTATAGACTAAATACATTTTTGGGTAACCATATCTTGAGCACGTTTAGATATACAGGGTGTTGCATCACGAGAGGGACATGGCTTAACGGGAGATAGAGGACATCTAGGGTAACTAGAATCGCCTATAGAAATTGCTTCTTGGCCATTCTTTATTGAGATACAGGGTGATTTATGATTTGTGATCAAAACTTCTTTATGTCATAACTTTGGTAGGGAATGGCATAATGGGTTCATATTTGGTAGGGTTAATGCATTCACGATACTTCATGTATGCATGTATGACAGCAAAAAAATCCAGGTCCGGACTGCAAAAATTGTTAATTTTTTGTGCAAGTCTAGAAAACAACACTCTGTATATATTTTTTTGAAATTGCGATACGATATTCTGAAAGAGCATAAAAAAGTGATCTGAAAGATGCGTTTCTTTTTTTTGTTACACTTTGGTGGTTATTTAAATAAGCTATTGAATATACGAGACTACGGCTGCTAAAACTAAATTACGTAAAGGACACATGATAAAAATGGTTTTGCAACTAAAATTAGCGAAGGCTTAATTGAGGGTAAATGAGCATGCATATTTTAAACCTCATTTTCTTTAAATAATATGTATTCCAGGTCCGGACTGCAAAATTATAAATTTTTTTTGTAACTCTAGAAAACATCACTCCGTATGTATTTTTTTGGTATTCCCATACGATTATCGAAAAGAACATAAAAAAGTAATCTCAGCGACATGTCTCTTTTTCTTGTTACACTTTGATGATTATTTAAATACGCATGATAAAAGCACATGACAAAAAATAAATTATAATCCGTCTATTTCGATTGCCATCGATACGTACATCGATTGGAAACTTGGGTAAACGAGTAAGAAAATGTATCGAATGTGAGGCAGGCCACTTTGAAAATTTGCTATAAAATTAATTTGCCATTGTAAAGTACATTTAGACACCTATTATTTTCTTTGTATTTTATTGTTATTTGTCATTAAATAATATTTGTTCCCATTTGCTTTTTTATTTCTATTTTTTAGAAATCCTATTTACTAAAAGAACAAAACTACTATTTTTATCATATATCTTTTACTTACTCATGTCATGTGTTTCTTACTTACTCGTAATTTCATTTTAAAAGCCTCGTTACCGTACATTAAATAGCGTATTTAAGTAATCATCAAAGTGTAATAAGAAAAAAAGACATGTCACTGAGATTACTTTTTTATGTTCTTTTCGATAATCGTATGGGAATACCAAAAAAATACATACGGGGTGATATTTTCTAGTTACAAAAAAAAATTAAAATTTTGCAGTCCGGACCTGGAATACATATTATTTAAAGAAAATGAGGTTTAAAATATGCATGCTTATTTACCCTCAAGCCTTCGCTAATTTTAGTTGCAAAACCATTTTTATCATGTGTCCTTTACGTAATTTAGTTTTAGAAGCCATAGTCTCGTATATTCAATAGCTTATTTAAATAACCACCAAAGTGTAACAAAAAAAAGAAACGCGTCTTTAAGATCACTTTTTTATGCTCTTTCCGAATATCGTATCGGAATTTCAAAAAAATACATACAGAGTGTTGTTTTCTAGACTTGTACAAAAAATTAACAATTTTTGCAGTCCGTACCTGGATTTTTTTTGCTGCCATACATGCATACATGAAGTATCGTGAGTGCATTAACTCTACCAAATATGAACCCATTATTCCATTCCCTACCAAAGTTATGACATAAAGCAGTTTTGACCAAAAATCATAAATCACCCTGTATCTCAATAAAGAATAGCCAAGAAGTTATTTCTATAGGCGATCCTAGTTACCCTAGATATCCTCTATCCCCCATTAAGCCATGTCCCTCTCGTGATGCAACACCATGTATTTTGTTCATATTTGATTCAAAGGAGTTTGTATAGATGTTAAATTAGAAAATTACAATATACTACTAACCTTTAGATAAAAAAAATGATAATATACTCGTGCATATTTTTAAAATCCCCTTTTACATTTTTAGAACTGTCTGCGATTTAAAATGACTAGATTATGTGTATATTAATTTCAAAGTCGAATATGCATTTTTTTTAAATTGTTATGAATATGTTCTTTGATACGAGGGTTGTTTGAAAAATCCCAAACCACCTGACATAACTGGCAATAATATTTGTGACGCATCACACACACACAGCTAATCATAAAGTTTTAAACTAATCTGCCAGTCAGTTGTTGTAAATGTCACTTTAAGGATAATTTGTTAGAGCTATTAAAATGAATAACATTTGTGCTTCATCCAGTATGCATTTACCGGATTTAATTACATAGGTACGTCAGATTTATTTCTGTTTCTATAATAACAAAAAAATTCTTTACCTAATAGCTGTCGATTTTTGTCAAGAAAAACTGAGTACAACTATTCTGAAAACGTCCAAGAAAATTACTTCCAAGATAGCACAAAAGCACAACATCGCTGGATGAACTTCACAGAAGTTTGAAGAGATAATATTAAAAAATTCGTCACTAACTGCATTGTTTCATAGTTAAAGCTGAGAATTCTTATTGCTCCCATAGATAAATAAAAAACATAAGAGTATACATGAACAGATAGTTTGAACTGAAACAGCTGTAGATGAAATAAATTTCTATGACTATGCTTCAACTTTTTATTTGTAGAGGTTATACCTATTGCAATTTTTCTCAGCTGTAATATAAAATGTCCTAAAACTTATATTTTTAACAGAATTGTGTGTTTTGAAAATTATCACCGTCTGCTTACTAACCTCAACTAATTATTAAATAAATACTTTCGGGAAATGTATGCAAAATAAAAGAATGAGTCTGAAGCTAGGGTCGCCAAATTTGGTCATTTGAACTAAATTTTCATAAATTTTCTTGCGTCCTGCCACGACTTCTCGCCAAAATGTCCTTAATTTTACAACCTTGTATATTTTTCGAATATAAATAAACAAGATATTTCCACAAACAGGAAGGCGCATTCTGAAAAAGACACCAGATTCTCTATCTTGCGCATGCATTTAGCGTAACAAAGCGAACATAAATTTATAATAAAGAATTTTGCATCATAACATATAGAATTTTTTTGTATTAATATTGTTATGTTATGTACACTTTATTATTTACATTTTTAGTTAATCTCATTTTAACTCAAAGAAGGTTTTTTTAATTTTATATTGTTTTATTTGTATTTTTTAGAGTAGGTATGTATGGCCTATTTTGTGATATATAAGTTATAAATAACGAGAAAAAATTTTTGCCTATGTATTTTTTTATGAAACATGTATAGGTTTGCTTATTTCATAAGACTATTGAAAAATTGTCCTTAATTTTTTGTCTCTGTTCTGAATTTCTAGTTGATTTGTCTGGAAAATATGAAATTACAAAGTTGACAATCCTGTCAGGAGCAAAAACACGTGTTGTCAGTTCTAAACAACCCAATATGTTTTTGTACTATACTTTCGACATTTCGATGATCCATTAATCGAGCAGATACTTCAAATAGAAAGGATACATTCTAACATGTCTGCCACACTTTGCGGCGGGTCGTCCGATTTCCCTGTAAACCTGGCTACTTCTTTCCTAAGGTCATGGAACTTGCTGTAGTAAAGGGGCAGATCTATATCTTTCCTGCATGCCTCTGGATGGAGACATTGCCTGAGGGGTAGCTGTCCGTCAGTTATCAACCGGAAACCAGCATTGTGGGGGTCTGAAATTGAAAGATAATTGTGCAAAAGTAACTATGGTAGAAAAATGAAATGAACAACATTAATAGTTCACTTGGACAGTCGTCGTAGCGAGTACATTATACGAGAGGAAGTTATTAAAGTGACGTAGAAAATTGAACATTTAGTACGTGATTTTATCGCAATAATTTTTGAAATATATTCAGGAGGTGGTAGTAAGAAACTGATTAAAAGTCAATAAAAACTAACGTGTTGAGCTGCCCCAGCGTGCTACAGATCTATTAATGCGTCTAGGCATACTTGAATTCTATTGGCACACTTTCAAGAAAAATGTTCATCATAGAAAGATTGAAACACACCATGCAATTTCAGACGTTACAATATCCGAACCTGGAGCAAACTGATTTCTTTGGATTTTCAAAAAACATTTGTAGAACTAAGAGTTTACAGATTCTAAATATTGTGAAGAATAATCAGAAGCTTAGGGACAGACAAAACTTTTTCCAAAAACATATCCATAAGACTGTGTTATGAACCAGAAGAGCTACAACTGAACCGTTGGTAATTTTTGTTCACGTCATCAACATACATCAATATAAAAGACAAATGTTCAATTGTTGATCAAGTTTGTGGGCTTAAAATGTTAGACATATGTTTGACTAGCTTCGTTTCTTACGTTCTGTGTTGTCATGGAGGGATAGTCTGTGAGTTCTATGGTTGTTTCAATAAATTGAAGTTAAGTTTGTTTGGTTTTGATGGATTTTAAACTGTTGTTATGAGCAAAAAACCACAAAATATGTTTTCATTACACAAATGTTAATCCTCACTATTTCTGAAATGAACAGTAATTCATGAACACAACCACTGATTTGAACTCGTTTGTAATCTCAGTTCATACGATATGCTTGATGACGTGAACGTAAAGATCCAATGGGTCAACTGTATATAAAAAGTAGTAAGGTTCCATATTTCCAGGATTATATGAAGTTGCTGGTTGCTGCAAAGAAACTATTCCACAAATCTTTAGGAAACTGAGCCTTTTATTTCAAGGAGAGCCGGTTGTTGTAATTTATTTTAACACTTTTCTCTTTGGTAGAAATTCCACAGGAAAAAATGAAGAATTATAGTTTTAATGAATAAAGTTAGCTTAATCTGAACACTCCTACTTATAAATTTATCATAAATTCAACCTACCTATGTGTAAACTATTACAGTAAGCGTCAAACTCGTTCAAAGCGTCCTCGATCTGCCTTCCGCTTGACTTGATGAGTTCGTCGGTCAAGACTGACTCGGAAGTCAACTGTTCCGATAGGATGTTCTCGTTCACATCGGCCGTTTGTGGCCTGATTGGATACTGCTGGACCCCCACGATCTGGAACAAAGACAGAATCTCATTAGATGAGATCACAGATCTAGATTTGAGATTACAGACACAAAGACGATTGTCTTACGTAGCCTAGCGTAAAGCGTTCATTCATAAAAATATACCTAATATACCGGAACGCGTGTTGTCAATTTTCAGATGTTATTTGATAACCTTCTATCTCAGTAAGAGAAATTTGATTCATACGTTTACATGTAAGTGCCCTACTTGAAAAGTAGACGTCAATACTAAATCTAATAGGAATGTCCTTTCTTATAACACCAGAGGTTGATATGATTAAATGCACCCGATTTAGGTATGACAATCTCGTGGGTTAATCTAGGTAAATGTTCGATTATTAAAACTAGTATCTATTTTTGAATTCCTAGATTTGTTATCATAGCCAAATTTTTTAATACACATGTTTGTCATATTTATCACTGGATATCTGTTTATGTAACATTATCCAGCTTTACATACAATGTTCTGTGAAAAAATAACTAATACTGCAAGAAACTTATCAAACTGTACAACCTTCTTTTAAAGATTTGGATGAACCAGTTCTAATCATAACTTTTGTGACTCGAATTCTCTTTATAGAATGCTCAGTAATGGATCATAGGTAAAAGTCAGTGTTTTGGCTCAATTAAAAAAAAAAAAAAAAACAAAAACTGTTTGCTTCTGTCTATCTTCTCTTTTTTAGATATGTAAATGTGAAATTATTCTGGTTTTCTTCTATGCTTCCTCGCTATATAATAACGATCCTTTTGGAAGTGGCGCAAAATTTTGATTGTAAAAAAGAGTCTTTTTTAAGTCAACGAAAATGACGCTATTGGGTAGTTTGTGTTAATTTTTCTACTCTAAAAGCTATTGCTATACTATTGAAGTCTCTATGCTTTTTGAGCATCTGGTCAAAAACTGTGTTGCACTTCCAAACTTTCAAGTATCCTACAGCCCTTAGGGATCGTTTAGACAAAAATGTTACTTTTTCTCTATTTTGACGATAGCAATGTCGTAACTACACCCCGTACCTGATACGTAGTTTTTACATAAGTCAAATGGAGAAACATTGTTAATTGATTTGAAAGAAAGTTAAATGCAACACTATTAAAGTCAATTAAAAATTGATAGCAAAACGCAGTTTGTCAGCGTTACCATGAAATCCTTGGACTGATATAAAAAACGACAACTTTTTTTTAATTATAGTCATTATATGCACACGTCAAAAAGCTAATTAACTAATTACCATTAAATGCTGGACTTGATAACATAGCTGGTCATACGTAGTGAAACTAAAAGTGAAAGCTACATGTCCGATTAAATTGATATCAAGTAAAAAAACGGGCACATCGCTTGAATGGAAATTAACTTGTAGATGAAAAAATATACTACATACAGGGTGTATCCCGAAGAGGGCCCAGTAGGATTATCTCAAAAAGTGGTCAAAATTGAAATCTGAAAATTTGTATACAGGGGTTTATCAAAAAGATCTATTCAATGAAAATAGTGTAAACTTCTTCGCACTTCCGGTTATACCGGAAGTCATCATCAGCTCTGTTATTTCAAATTTTGTATATTTATGTATTTTTTAATTCTACGGCAAATTCTAGACTAATTTCATATAAGGTACTATGGGCCAAAATGTGACAGTTTTCAAGGTATTATAAATTTTCGAAAAAAAAATGAGGGATGTAAGTGATTTTTGAAGATAGAATAACTCCGACATTTTGCTTTATTTATTAATGAAATTTGGCATGGTTAATTTAAAAGCAATGGAATTCAACCAAACTGCAAAAATTCATGCAGAGTATTTTTAAAAACGTGTGGCTAATATTGTGACGTTGAAGTTGAATTTACTAAAAAATTTCAACTGGTACACCCTGTATATTATAACATTAATGAATGCAGAATTAAATTTACTTTAAAATGATACTATAGTTTCCTATACCCAAAGTTAACAGTTCTCGTGTAAATTGGAAATTATTGATTTCAACACAGAAAAATCTACGAGTATGTTGGGTTTATTTAAAGCATCGCCCTTTTTAATTTAATGTACTGAATTATTGTTTTTGGCAAAGGTATAACAATAATAAAAATTACAGTTGATTAATCAGACACCGTTTTTTATTCAATTTTTTAGTGCACCAAATCCACTGTAGGTACATTCTGTTAACTTTGGGTATAGGGAACTATAGTATCATTTTAACGTAAATTCAATTGAGCATCCATTAATGTAATAATAATATACAGGGTGTACCGTTTGAAATATTTGAGTATATTCAAGTTTAACGTCACAACATTGGTGACAAGTTCTTAAACACTCTGTATGAATTTTTGTAAATTTGACTAAACTGGTTGAATTCGATCGCTTTTAGATTATCCATGCCAAATCAATTAGAGCTCAAAAGTAGCTAATATGTATTAATGATAGTACGTGTGAAAAATTTGAATTCTGTAGGTATCTCAAATGGTTAATGTGATATCGTCAAAAAACTGAAAAAAATCTCGAAAACGGTCCGTTTATATGAACTTTTTTTCTCAGAATAAACCAAATAATCACATCCTCCATTTATCACATAAAAAAGAAATATGTCCAAGTACTAATATTATATTTATGTAATAATATTAATGTTGATATTAATATAAATCAAGTTTTGTTTCAGCAATCTTAAAATTGACCAATAACTTGGCCAAAACTGAAAGTCTTAGAAGGATGTAATAAATGGGTAAAAAATTAAAAAAAACATTCTATTATTACAAATCCAAAAAATAAAAACAATCTTATCGAATGAAGTCAAACAGATCAGATTATTTTTTTTTAATTTGTTTGAATTAGTTTAATATTTTTTAAATAAAGTACGGTAAAAGGTTGTCACTGTTAAATCTCATTTCAGTTCAACCTACTTTTTTTATGAAGCAGTGTTCAATTGTTTTTGCAATGTAGGGACAAAAAGGAATAACATCCGTTTGCACATTCTCCTTTACGGAACACTAATGAAAAAAATAGACATAAAAGGACAATTTTCACATGATTCACAGAACATCATTCAGTTGTTTTACATTTTTTTTCACAATTTATTTTGCAGCAGTGCGATATATTGTTTTTTACTATGAACAAAAATGAGTACGGCTCCAACCGCAAAAATCTTGCTCATTTTACACTTTATATAATAATAAAATATACCTACCTACATATATGAAGAAGAGTCAAGGCCGGCTTACAACATAAATTAAAATTTGTTTGTGCAATGAATTTCTGGGATAATATTACTTTGTCATGGAAATATGCTTAATGCTAAGTAGACTACACACACAAGTAAGGGTGAGTATTTTACAACTATCTCGCTTATAATAAAAATGTTTACCTTTATAAAAAATTGCCAAACCAACTGTTTCTTATTGCGTCAAAGAATTTTTTCAAACAAAGGTAATTTATACATGTAAAAGTAATTTGCAGAACTAACGTCTCAAAGTTTATACGTTACTGACTAACTGTTTATTACATTCTGCGAAAAAATTACAATTTTACTTGAAACAAAACAATTGCAAAGGCAATTATCTACCAGAGCAGTCACCAAGCTGGAATGAGAGCGAGAACAAACATTACTTTAACAACCTCTTTGCAGAGAAGTGTTAACACCATATAATGTGCAACCAGTGGCGTAACTATCGCTGAAGCAAATATAGTTTCAAGGGTTTCCTACAAGTTCATAGAAATGAAAATACTGGATCACCAGCGACGGCTAGCAAAAATTAAAATGGCCATATTTTGATAATAAAGCATTGGACTCATATCGATTTTTTAGGGATGCTGTAAGCCTTCATAGAGAACTTTTCTATCAAAAAAAAATAAACAGTTGAATAGGGGTTGCTGACCCTGAGATCTAGATAAGAGTTGTGCATTTACAAATTTCTTTTTTAATGATCGACTGATAGATACAAAAAAGGGTCTTCTTATTCTTCACAAAATTTTCATTTTTCTTAAAGTAGGTACATCATTAGGAACGTGGAATCAAGCTCAAATTTAACTACATATCACTGTGACGAAAAATAATTAAAAAAAAAATGATAATAATAAAACATATATAGTTTTCTTAAAGTTGCCACATCAGTTTTGATTGATTGTTTCATATTTCCAACGGTAAGTATCTAAAATGTCTCCACAGTTAAATATGTGAAACTGTAAACTAGGTTTCATTCCATTTTTTTATAATGGTGACGAAAATTTATAAATAATAAGGTTCCTATATAATTAACAATTACTTTTTTTTCACGTTGTTGCCTTTATAACTTCCTACATGAGGATAAAAGTAGGTCATGCTGGCAAAATTAACGGTACCGCTAAAGTTAGATTAATTTCTTGTTGACTTTTTTATAGCGCCGGTATGTGTTTCATTGACTTAAGATTAAAGACCCCTGTTGATGAATGATATAGTTAAAGAACTGAGTAATCTGCAAAAAGCGCCGCTATCTGCTTTTTAAATTGTTATAGAAAATTGGTCTTGTCGTTTCATTGACTAGTTCTTGAAATTATAAATAAGCGATAGTGGTATTTCCGTTCCCTTTTAAAAATATTTGAATGTAAGCAAATGTTGACAAGCCTATTATACTTATGAAATAATTATGTAATTTTACTAAATGTCATGTGGACATCCGTACTACGTGTAATCTGTATCCAGATAACCAATATAGTAATAAAAATCGTTAAAAAATAAGCAAGATATCCTGAACTACAAACAGGATATTGTTGGAAATAGGTTCTTAACGGTGTTACACCCATTAAATTATAAATAAGATAAAAATTGACGTACAGGGTGTTCCAATATGCTGTGTACATGGAACTACCACAGATACTTGAGGCCGAAATAAGAAAATTTAGTTTACCTCTATCCAAAGTTTAGCCGTTAAATGATCTCAAAGTCAGTAAAAAATTTTAGTTTTTTCTTGATATTCTAATGCTTTTTCTGATTTAATTAAAATTTCATATACTTGTATAGATGTCACTATTT